AGTTTGGGGCTGGGGATTTAGCTCAGTGGCACTGCGCCTGCCTTGCAAGTGCAAGGTCCTGAGTTTGATCCTTGGTACCAGGAAAAAAAAAAAAAAAAAAAAGCAAGAAAAAAAGAAAAGCACAGTTTGTTACAAAATTAGGAGATGTATTTCTTTTTTCTCAAGTTGGGAGATGGAGGTGGGGGAGATGATAACACTCCTGAGAGAAGAGGTAGGGAGTATGGAGAGTGCGCTTATCATTTCAGTATCTATTCAGTGTACATAGTGTGTGTTATACTCAAGGGATGGGGAACATGAAAAAGCAAGGTTCCTGTTCTTAGGGAATGTATAATCTGGAGGAGAAAAAGAAAATCAAGTAATTTAAGAAAGAAAAATTGGGACATTTAGTTGAACACAGTGCTTCCCAAATCCTGCTAAAACAACAATAATGAAATAAAAGTGTGTGAATCCATAAGAGCAAGGGGAATAGGAAAGGAAACTAACAGAGATGCCAGAAAAATTTTGGAAGATTGAAAGCTGATAGAAAAGTGGTCCGTGACGCAGCACAGGAACCCACAACCCAGGAACCCACAACCCAGGTTCCTGGAGAGGAACTATACAGGCTGAGTCTCCTGGCAGAACTCCAGAAGACCCAAGTCTTGGATAGATGAGGTCTCAAGAAGGTGGGAGTGAAGGAAGGAAGGAAAGAGCTGTTATGTAACAATTAGATACCAAAATCAATCTCAGTCTGTCTCTGTGTCTCTATCTCTGTCTCTTTCTCTTTTTCATTAATACAAATGATATTACTCATAATGATTACATTCCTTATGGGGAGTTGGTACATGTACATGACACATCTTAATTACTTTTTTCAACTCCTCTTATCCACCTCCCTCCTCCCTTCAACCTTTAATTCCCTTCCCATGTGGGAAAGATCCATCTCCCTACTTCTTATTATTTATCCTTTATTTTGCTCTTTATTTATACTTTGAGATTCTCATATAAGAGAAACCATGTGATATTTAAGCTTGTGTGTCTGGTTTATTTCACTTAACATTATAGTCTCAAAGTGCATGCATTTTCCTACAAATGATTCAAGTTTATCCTTCTTTATGACAGGGTAGTACCCCCTTGTGTATAAATACCATATTTTCTCTATCCATTTGTCTGTTGATGGGCATAAGCCACTTCCAAG